AACGATTCAAATCCCTCGACATTTTCAGTACAGTTTAACTAATGTCTTCATCCGTAAAACCATGTGTTTCATGAGACCAAGGTTCCTCAAACTGAGAATACCTCCCGTCTGTCACGTGACCAGTTGGTCAAGTACGGCTAATGTAAACGTCCTTTAATCACGATGTGTAGGCTGTGTACACAAGCCCTGTGCGCTGACAGTATGTACACAGGTAGGTCGATGTACCCGCTCTAAGTAATGCATACGGTTGAAAATGAATATGAAAACACAGTCAAACACATACTATCTACACATGGCTGGTGTATAGACCTCTCACAGTCCTCATTCCACAGCCTGCTTCTCTATATCGTCATTCTCTTATAAATAGCCTATTGAGCTCGTTTCAAATCCGGTCGCTGCTGCACATGAGGAACAGGTTCATATCTACTTTCTAAAAATATCCATTATAAACATGTCGAAATATTTTGTAATTTTGAAACATTTCATTTTTAACGTGAATAACATTAAGGGATGTATAATGCCGTGTGGACTAACGGTGAAGAGGGTGTAGCAATGAAGGACAACATAGACATTACTGCCGTTATAGATCGTCTCAGGTAACACTGTCCTCTCTGTGTTAGAACGCTCAAGGTGTGAGGATCACACGGATGGGACTGTGTTACCTGAACCCCGGTATGGCGATGCGTCAATGCGGTCTAGGTGCTGGTATGTTCAATACTGTATGACTGGTAACAAGAGAGCGGAAGAGTGTACTAGCTGTTAAAATGACTAACAGAAAAAACACTCTCATTGTTAGTCGAGATTACATAGAGATACCGGCCTGCATCTACTGTGCATGTGTTGTGTTCGTTACCAGGTGACAGGAAAACATGATTCAGCCATGTAACATGCTGAACGACTGACAAGAAGGCACGATGTAATCAGGCAGAATGCTGACCGACTGACACCAAGACACGATGTAATCAGGCAATATGGTAAACGACTGACAACAAGACACGATGTAATCAGGCAATATGGTAAACGACTGACAACAAGACACGATGTAATCAGGCAATATGGTGAACGACTGACAACAAGACACGATGTAATCAGGCAATATGGTGAACGACTGACAACAAAACACGATGTAATCAGGCAATATGGTGAACAATTGACAATAAGACACAATGTAATGAGGCAATATGGTAAACAACTGACAACAAGACATGATGTAATCAGGCAATATGGTGAACGACTGACAACACGACACGATGTAATCAGGCAATATGGTGAACAACTGACAACAAAACACGATGTAATCAGGCAATATGGTAAACGACTGACACCAAGACACGATGTAATCAGGCAATATGGTGAACGACTGACAACAAGACACAATGTAATGAGGCAATATGGTAAACGACTGAGACCAAGACACGATGTAATCAGGCAATATGATGAACGACTGACAACAAAGCACGATGTAATCAGGCAATATGGTGAACAATTGACAATAAGACACAATGTAATGAGGCAATATGGTAAACAACTGACAACAAGACATGATGTAATCAGGCAATATGGTGAACGACTGACAACACGACACGATGTAATCAGGCAGAATGGTGACCAACTGACAACAAAACACGATGTAATCAGGCAATATGGTAAACGACTGACACCAAGACACGATGTAATCAGGCAATATGGTGAACGACTGACAACAAGACACAATGTAATGAGGCAATATGGTAAACGACTGACAACAAGACACGATGTAATCAGGCAATATGGTGAACAACTGACAACAAAACACGATGTAATCAGGCAATATGGTAAACGACTGACACCAAGACACGATGCAATCAGGCAATATGGTGAACGACTGACAACAAGATTTTGGAAAACTTGTTTGCATTAACAATAGTGTTCACAAGATTGGTTTTGTCGGTTGCCATGAACTAATCATCAATTATGGGATTTTAACCAATTCCAAAACTTCTATGAAGTCGATATTGTCTTTACCATGCAAACAACATCTGAACTGGTTCTCACGTTGGAGCTAGTGCAAAACTAAGACAAGATTTGTCACTGTTACCGCCATACATACACCCTGTGTCTGTGACCTACTGATGCCGACGAGATAACATTGACATGTATACATAAACACAAACCTGGCTACCATCTTAATTTTATGCATCACGACATAATGTTTAAGACGCATATTACTAAAATTTCAACATTCTCCTTTCTTCTGATATTGCAAGTAACATTTTGAATAATGTAATTTCAAACAAAATATAATCTACATTTCAATTTACAATCACATGGCAAGTTTTGTTTTCATTACAAATGTTATTTTGAAATAGTTATATTTCATTGATTTCTCTATGTGGACAATTCTGATATTATTAACGAGAAACATCGTGTAAATTTATGATGATTGTGGGAATGTCTTTGTTGTTTTTTTTCATTTATATTCCACGTAGTAATACGCATGATACAACGTCATTAACGTACTGTTACAGACGTCTTGACTTTTCCGTAAAAGATGCTTTCACTTTTTTTAAAAAAATCATAATTCCAACTCATGCATACGGGGCTGAAATTTTGAGTTGGGAGGAAAGGAGTAATATTGAAATTATCCATTGGAAGTTTTGTAAATTTGTTCTCAATATTAGTTATATATCGCCGAATGCTGTATCATAGGGAGAGTGTGGAACATACACTTTAGGTTTCCTATCAAATGTCACGTATTAAGTATTGGCTACGATTGTTAAGAATGCAACGCCAAAGACATATTTTCCAATGTTATAAGAGGCCAAGTCGGGCCAAACATGTGAAATATTTTCTTTTATCGTTATTGTTACTGTTTGTTTTGGATAAGCCAAGAGGTTGTGGATCCAGGTCATTTTGTTTATATCTTTAGTCACGTGTTAAAGAATGTGCTTATCTGAAGTGGCTTTATTCTCCTTAGAGTGATTCTCTCACATTGTATAATTCTCAAGTCTGTACTTAATTCTGAAAATGTTTGTTAAACACTAGTACCTATGAGCAAAGACGTGGACTAACTTTATCTAGAAGTGGATATCTAAGTAAGAAAAATGTCTTTAGTAATAATCCCTACATTTGAAAACACTGTAATGACTGACTGACTGACTGAGTTTAGTTTTACGCCGCTTTTTGCAATATTCCAGCGGTGGACACCAGAAATGGGCTTAACACATTGTGCCGATGTAGGGAATCGAACTCGGGTCTTCGGCGTGACGAGCCAACGCTTTAACCACTAGGCTACCCCACCGCCCCCTGTAATGTAATGCTGAATGAAATACATGTATTGTATGATTGTGTTTATTATGTAACAGAGAGAGAGAGAGAGAGAGAAGGAGAGAGAGAGTGAGAAAGAGAGAGAGAGAGAGAGAAAGAGAGAGAGAGAGAGAGCGTTTCATCCAAAATTGTAGTAGTGGTTCAAATAATAACTTCTTTCTGTTAAATCTTGTTAAATCTCGTATACATGTGCATAAAACATAAAAAAGTAACTGTAGAATTTTATGTTATATCATTTGTACTTTTGGTCATATGGCCTTTCTACAAAAAAATATCTTGAATCTTGAAACTAACTGTCAATCTCAAAACACTATAGTCAGTTTCATCAGTTACCTTATTTTCATTTCTGGAATATCTGGCCACAGTAACTACCTCGTTGGGTATAGTTCATCACTGTTACTTCCACATGAGACACTTAATGGTCACTATCGGTCACATGTTCTGGGTTGATTTTAAAAGCGACAAAACACCTTCCACGTCCATGAGAAATCGATGCTAAAAGCAGACCCGATTGCGCAATTCCGATCATATTATCATGTGTTTAAGCAAATAGTGATGATACCAGGTGATCGGAAAAGGTGAGCGTACCCTGCCTCAACACCCACATTCACCGCCATTACGGTGTCCCCAACTAGCAATGCGACCAGTTTGCCATACAGCTGTAAACCAACAGGGGGGTATGGTTGACACACGACTAAAGTTGACTATACCTGCGAGGTGAGGTGCCAAGTAAATAGGTCGTATACGTGCACACCTTGAGGGGTAATCCTTTATCGACACACACTACTTCAAATAATACGTTATGGTCGTATTTGCAATATTAAAGCTGCTATAGAAAATGACTCTTTCAAACATATAGGTCGGTGTTTGTAGAGTACAGAGCAGTGCAATCGAAGGAACACATAAGAGACGGCGTTTACCACCGCCTCCCGCACTATAGCGCTATGCAGGGATAGAAAGTTTAAGCCCGGACAAACAAAGCGTTGTTATTGTCCTCAGCACTAGAGGACTCAGCCCTCCGTTAACTAACCACCCTGGCATTTCGTGATTCAGTTTCATGAGGACATTTTCCTAGTAAATAATTATGTATATGTATGTATGTATGTATGTATGTATGTATGTATGTATGTATGTATGTATGTATGTATGTATGTATGTATGTATGTATGTATGTATGTATGTATGTATGTATGTATGTATGTATGTATGTACGTACGTACGTGTGTATGTATGTATGTATGTATGTATGTATGTATGTATGTATGTATGAATGTATGTATGTATGTATGTATGTATGTCTTATACATGGTGATTATGCTAGTTTATCTTGTTGCTCAAGTATCAATTCATTAGAACATTTCAAACCAATATACACTATAATAGAATGTCCAGCTCATGTATCGACATTCATTTTAGTCTTATTGTTTTGTTACCTGACATGACCGCAGGTAGTGATGCTATAACATTATTTCATGACCGAGACAGATTTATGTTTTTCTTATAGCATTAATTTCACTGGTTTAATATGGCCTACTAATTCCTTTTTTTCTACAAACTGTGAAACCAAGGTATTGTTTTACATGGCCAGACAGCCTCAAGCCAGACTTTGAGTTCACCTCGCTAGGGGCGGTGGATTATCCCTACACAATACCTGGGATTAACGGAGAACTGTGTCTCTATTGTAGCCAACTGACCTGCACATGACTGGAACCACTTCTGTTTCCGTCCTTCTCCCTCTGTGACAAGTAACCAAACAGATGATCGCTGTAGGCAATCAGAGCAGTAATGGCCAGTTGTATTGAGGTACGCACGGATAACTCACAAGTAATAAACAATACTGTTGAAAGTTTGCGCCCAACGGAAATGACAAATCATTGAACTGTAACTCAGGCCTGTTGGTTGATGTGTGAGAGTTGTGTTGTGAAAGATCGTGTCACGGCTGGCTGTGTCTTCGTTATCCGTAGGGACAAACGTCTCACACCGATTACGAAATCTAAGCCGATAGTCCCCGTGGGTGGAACAAAGAATGTACCCTGGGACGGGATGTTAGGGAGGAGGTGACACACACCACCCACATGAAACACTATGATTCAGCAAGACCTGGCCATTCAACTACAACGTGACAGATCTGAACTCTTGGTAACATCAGCGAACACTTCCCCAACCACGGTCTTTGTTATGCTCAGATCGAACTCCGCCATTCCGTTAACCGTGTATAGTATACGTCCATGATCTCGCCTCGGCGCAATTATTCATTTACGACCGAATTCGACGTCGGGTAACATCGCCACAGGTGTGTCTCTTGAACACGTGAAAGTCTTACCTCGGCAGTAGACACTGTACAGCTCTCGGCGAAGTCAGCTACGTATATCGCTGTGTGGGGTTTAAGCGACAGTCTCATCGACAGGCGTGTATGTAATCTCCATGTCTACAAGTGGTTCAGTCAGTGAAGCATGAGCGAGACATCAACAGTGCAGGGGATTGGTCAACGAACCCAAATAGGTGATCGTTAATCGTGTGACCTAACGTAAATTCCATATCTTCTCTCACCTTGTGCCACTCAACATGTGTATCTGCCCTTTGACCTCGACTGTCACGTGATGTCGGTCGATTCATCAGTTGAAGACTTGGAATGTTATTGCCATGGTGATGAAGAGAGGCTATTCTTAGTGCATGCTCGTGAGTCTGATCGACATCGCCTCGTTGCAGTTCTCGCTTCTCACATACTCGCTTATCGGTCCCTGTAGACCATCACAATATCTCACTCAGTTATCGCTGTGCAATTCTTCTCCAAGCAAAGCTGTATTTTTGCTCGAGGCAAGGCCGTGTTGATAAGAAAAGGTAGCCTACAGCTCATTTCATAATGTTTAAAGTTAAAGTCAATTTCTACCTGAGTGTTGACTGTGGTATATTGATTAGTATACAATGTTGTACACGAAATGAAAGCGTGCTACAGCTCCTGCGGAAGTTTCAGGGGGTTGGGGTTCGAACCCCCTGACCCCCACCTTGGCTCCGTCAATGGAAAACATTAGTTTCAATGTGGTCTTTTTGAAAATATTTTAATTTGGATGGTAAACTCGAAAACTAATTTTCCTAGTTAGGTTAAAGGATACAAAGAACATATGTCTTATTTTCTTCATAAATAAACAGGGGCGGTGGGGTAGCCTAGTGGTTAAAACGTTGGCTCGTCACGCCGAAGACCCGGGTTCGAATCCCCAAATGGGTACAATGTGTGAAGCCCATTTCTGGTGTCCCCCGCCGAGATGTTGCTGGAATATTGCTAAAAGCGGCGTAAAACCAAAACTCAGTCAGTCATAAATAAATAAATAAACATACCCAGACGATTTGAAACGCGAAAAAGACAGTGAAAGGTAAGGATCACGGACTATAGTGTGGGCAGGCCAGTTTTCCCAGGCAAGGGAGATAACTGACTATCAAAGTTGCCAACATTGCCTGACGGCTGGAGTGAGTGAGTATGGTTTAACGTTGCTTTTAGCAATATGCCAGCAATATCACGGCGAGGGTAAACAGCACTGGGTTCCACACATGTGGGGAATCGAACTCGGGTCTTCGGCTTGACGAGAGAAGGCTTTAACCACTGGGGCTACCCCACCGCCCATGAAACACGATAGAATTTGAGCGATAACGGGGATTTTCAACAGTTTAGTTTGTATGACAGGATGGTCGCCCTCCCCGTTTGGGATAACGGTTACTACTTGAATGGCTGCATCTTCAGCTGTTTTAATTACTGTTTCTGTCCGACTGGCAGAATTAATATTAATATTACATTAACTTGTACATTTCAGAGCAACATGTGATGTTACGACATCGATGTGAGACCCCGGGCCCCGTTCCTCAAAGCGATCGTAGCCCTACGACAGTTGTAAGTCTATGTTAAAGTATGGGAGTTACGACTGTCGTAGCGCTACGATCGCTTTGAGGAACGGGGCCCTGAACATAACTTATTGATATAAAGATCGTGGTGGAGAAGAGTGCTCCTGTGCATGGAGCGCAGGCCACAAATCAGCTGAAGTTAAGCAACGTTGGTCACGCAACGTTTGATGGGTGACTGTGTTTGGCGCCTGAGAGTTCCTAGGACTTCTGTCCTGCCCCACAACGAAGCGCATGTGATACATGTGGTCTCACCTTAGGCAAGTGAGTTTCTTCAAACTTACCTCTGTTCACCCAGCAGAAAATGGGTACCTGGTGGGATAAGTCATATGACTATTAACCTTCTAGCGCCTCACAGCTTGGGCTATCGTGGGTATTGATGTCCAGCATCTTGTATGTGTTTAGAGCATGTCCCTGCGGCGTACAGTTCGGCACTGTGTAAGTGTCCAATTATTATTATTATTATCATTAAGGTGTGACTTGTCGCGGTGTCTCACTCCATACCGGATATGTACCACACCCTTGGCCTACCCACCGTAGGGTAAAATAACAACGTGAATTGAGACTATTACCTTGCAGATATCTCCAGATAAGAAACAGGTGGAGTGAAACTGGAACAACAATTTATTTTGTTTGCTAAACGTACACTCAACAATTATCGCAGTATCTAAATATGTCACTTACAACTGTATTATCGTAGTCGCAGCAATTTGTGATACAGAGTTACGTCCCTTAGAGACGCACGCCACCTATGAATCCTAGTTCGCCGTGGTTGCGTTTCTAGGTTTTGGAGCACAATATACTCGTGCTAGTCGGCTTTTCCAAAGCGGTAATTGTCTGAGGGCTGGGAAGGTGGGGAAGCCTAATGGTTCGCTCGTCACACCGAGGACCCGGTTTCGATTCCCCACATGGGCACAATGTGTTTAGCTCATTTCTGGTGTCCCCCGCAGTGATATTGCTGGAACATTGCAAAAAGCGGCGTAAGACTGAACTTACTCACTCACTCAACCGCCAGTCAACAAGTAACCATAACAAACTGTGTTCGTCTTCAGGTTCTAGCTTCATATTCTCCTGCTCGTGCAACTCAGCAACTCACTCACTCTGAGGGAGCGTGAATGCAGTTTGGGAGTTGTGCCTATTGTCACGTGTTTGTTCCCTATTAACAACGTAGACAACGGCAAGGCAGGATGGGGGTTACTTGTTTGAATGAAATGTGAGTACATTCATACACACACATAATACTTCACCACACACGCACGCACGCACGCACTCACACACACACCCTGTACATGTCCCCTAAAACGGGATATCTGGTTAATAGGTCAAACTTATAGTTGGTATTGAATAGAAAGGGCGTGTGTCCTAAAATGTTAAAAATCATACGGTCCATTTATGACTGTGTCAAGTCTTGTGTTAAATCAAATACATGTAAATCAAATAATTCTTTCTCTGAAATGTTTCAATGTCGCATTGGGGTAAGACAATATTGTGTTCTAAGTCCATTATTGTTTTCCATATTCGTAAATGATAATATTGAATCTGTTTGTTACGCTGGTATTCAGCTGCATTCTCAGTTGACGCTATTTTGTTCATCATTTTGTTTGCCGACGATGTTATTCTTCTCTCTGATGCTATATATAGCTTACAAAACCGCATCAATGTTCTAGAACAGCATTGTATTGATTATAATCTTACTGTAATCTAGGCAAATATCAAATTAACGGTGCAAAGCTTTCTAAAAGAGAAACGTGGTTTCTGGAAAGTAGCTTAATCGATTGTGTCGCTTCTTATATAACCCTTGGTGTACAGTTCTCTCAGTTTCAGATATCTAACAAAGTTGCAATCTTTGCAATGCCATATATTTTTCAAAGATTTACTCGAAAGTGCTAATTTTGCTTTATGGGGCTGAAGTCTGGGGGCTAAATTGTGATATAAGTTCTAATGTAGAGAGTTCAGATTCTGGCTTGCAAATAATTACTAGGTGTTAAAGGATCTACGTCCAATCAAATCAGGCTGTTCGTGGAGAATGTGGCAGATATTCCACATATATTAATGCGTACAAACACTGTGTCAACTTTTGGTATAATCTGCTGAAAATGCCGGCATCTCGTTTACTTAAAAGTTTTATAATTTAATTTTGACAGATGTTTCCCATGGTGGCAAAAGTAAATGTGCTTCAAAACTCAGGTTTTTATTAAATAGTATGCGGTTTGGTTACATATGGGAGAGTCAGTGTATTAACAATTTAGACTCATTTATTTTAATTCATGATTAGGGCACAGAATATGTATGTACGGGGTTGGCATGAAATCAAGCTCTGAAACCTATTCATATTCATTGTATAAACATGCATTTGGCCCAGAGATATATTCAACTGTAAGTGTGAAATAATTGCGCACTGCTTTTGCACAGATTCATTGCCGTTCTCATCAATTATTGAAACTGGTAAATATATCAATGAGCCAAGGAATCTCACATTTTGTCATATGTGTTCGGATACTCACATTGAAAATGAATATCATCTTTTTTTAATATGTTCTGCCTAAGATCACCTACGTACATTCTATATCCATGTGCACTATTATACGTATCTATCATTGTGCAAATTGAATACTTTGATGCCTGCAGACAATTCCACTGTGCTACGAAATCTAACTTTGTATCTATTTTACGCGAATAATTATATATACGTTACGTACAAGCCTTTTGCTGGCTGCATGAAAATAACGGTATTGTGGGCCGATGGCCTGCATACTTTAGAATAAAGAGAGAGAGGACATTGACATTATCTCGATTACTACAGCTATTATATCATATTCTGCCATTGTAAAAGTTCTGCTCTTTTGTAGAGCTACTTATTTGCGTGGCATTTATTTGGTTAGAATTGAATACCTAAATAAATGCATAAATACACCTCTTAGTTTTGTAATATTGGTTTGCCTATATATTTCTCGCATTGTTTTAAGTTGGACGTCGACACGTAACCCTGTCAGGTCTTATTCATGCCATATGTGGTATATCAAACTAGTTCTGTAAACTATCATCAAAGTTAAGACGTTGCTGAGTGTGTGTGTGTTGCTGGGTGTTGCTGGGTGTTGATTTCCTGGTGACTGGGTGAAAGACATCGTGGTGCATGTCGTGACGTATCATGACCAAGGTTCATGTCAATATTAATTATGTCTACTGCCCTCATTTTCCTGACTGAAATCAGAGTTGAAGTAAAATTGGAGATAGTTTCGTGTTCAAGCGTATTTCACTTACAATAGATATTATATATACTGAGGGAAACAAATATAGGATCACAGGAAAATTGAAGCGTTTCTTTATTATTTTCCAGCTACACAGCGCTATTCAAAGCTGGTGATGAAAACTGGAAAATAAAAGGAACGCTTGAATTTTCCTGTGATTCCTTATTTGTTTCTCTCA